ATGTCCCTTCTAGGCCATTTTAGATTTTATTTTCCTAATTGCTACCATTCCATAAAATTTTAATAACATAGATATAACATTTTTGTTTATGTATTGTAGCCCTTTGGAAGGCCACACACTATTGTGATATCCATGAGAGAGAGTGAGTGAATAGAATTTCTTGGGCAATGACCTTCTGGTGAGAAAGGATGGGGTCTAATGAAGGGTTAGAGAAGAGTATTAATAGTTTATACATGGTAACAGAGGGGAAGGCTGATTATATGGATGTGAATGCTGATAGTTGGATAGATTGTGGGTGGGGGAGTCTGTGAAAGGTTTTTAGAAGTGGGAACCATCGTCATTATCTAAGAGAGAGAGGATGAAAAAGGGTATTTGGAGTTTGAGGACAGAAGCTCAGGTGTAAAATGATCAGCCTAGACTGAGTGGCTGAGAAAGAGTAGATGACAAGATCATTGGCAGGCAGCAGCTCACAGAACCGAAAAGCTATAGTGTTGAAAGTTTCACCTACATGGATTTTGAAATTGATGTGTGTTAGGACAGGTAGGAATTAGAAGACTGACACTTAGCCAGGAGCTGACTTTGTTTAGAAGTGAAAGAAAGGACATGGTGGCCGGCAGATAGCAGGAGCAACTTGACATGGGATCTCAAAGGCCCTGAAAAACTGTTGGTGTGGGTCCCATTTCTGGTCATAAAAGTGGATCTGGGAGTAAGGCATGTGAGGTGGGAAAATGTGACTTCAGAGAAGTAGCATTGTGAGCCACAGGGTCAAGGCCCAGGGCCAGCCAGTCAGTAACAGCTAAGTGACCAGGCAGACTGAGAGCTAGAGTAAGGAGGGGCTCTTTTCCTGGCTTCATTAGAAGATGAGTGTATATTGGTTGGGGCAGGCATTTGAAATTAAAAGATGCTGATAATAGGATGAAGATGTGTAAACTTCCAGAGCTGCTAGTGCACATGGCTTCATAGGAGTTCATTGGATGGGAGTCCAGTGGTTTATTGACACCACTGTGGATTTATTAAGTAACATTTTCTTGCATGTGTGGAGAAATAGCTGTATATTATTAGTGTTTGACACTATCAACTCATCCTCTATTCAGCTCCTGAAACCTCAGCTCAGGGCTGCTGTTAAAAACTTGCAAACTGAGAACAGAGAGGATCCAAGATGGAGGCAGAGTGGGTGGAAGTTATACTCACGTCCTCTTGGGGCCCAGTTGGAATTATGACTAAATTGTAGAACGATCAACCTGAATAACAACTGAAGACTAGCTGAACAGAAGTCTTATAACCAAGGATTTACAAAAGAAGCTACGTTATGAAGTAAGGGTGGAGACATGAAAAGGGCTGGCCCTGTACCCACGTGTCACAATTGAGAATCCGGAGAGATATCCCAGCTGCAAAGGTCCCCTCTGAAGAGCAAGGGGTCTCAATCCCATGCTGGGCTCCTCAGCCCAGGAAGAGCCCACATAACATCTGACAGTGACAATCAGTGGAAATTCTGTCTGTCAGGGTGAGATGGGACACCCTGTTAGAAACTCAGGCCAACACACATCTCATTTGGGGCCACTCCAACCTGGGCTCTGAAGGAAGAAGGGTGACTCAAAGGGTATCAGAGAGGGAGAGACTGGCTTCTGTGGCTTGGAGAGAGGGCTGGGGCACAGCTGCCAATGTCTCTGTGCTGAATCCCTCTCACACTGCCCACAGACACCATTTTCCCTGAGTTGAGCACTCCCCTCCATGTGACATCAGTCTGGGGGAATGCACTAGACCTACCCATCGGCTCCCTGTGGCCCTGCCCTGCCAAGCTTGCTCATTGCAGAGCATCTGCTGGCTGTGCCAGCCTGGGCCTACAGTGCAGACTTTCTTAGAAGGTAGACTCAACAGGTGTCAGAGATGCACAGGAAAAGACAGAGTTGTTTGGTTCTAGGGCCATATCCCCCCTGCAGGCCCAGGCCAATGCCACCATTCCTGTGCAGATCCCTCCCTCCACATGGCCAAATCTCAATCTGTTTTAGCCTGATGAACTCTATTGCCTTACCCTGATGACTCCCTGAGACCCTGTCCTACCACAAAGATCTGCAGGCCCCAGGTACTTGGCAGCTGGCCTTGATGTACCCTGAGTCTTTTCCTGAGTGGCTACAGACCTAGCACTGGCACCAAGTTTGTATTAACCTGTTAGTTACCACTCACCCCTGCCCGGTGACTCACTGAGAGCCTCCCTCAAGCAACTCACATACTGGCAAAGGCTCTTTCAGTGATTAAATCTAACAGGCAGCTGTCAGGAAGAGGTTAAGCTTGAGTGCCTTGGACATTTTGCTGACCTGCCCCCTGGTTTGGTACTGATGGAGGCCAGCCTTGGTATGCAGCTTGACCCCTCCCACATGCACTCAGACCTGCAAAGGCAGCCACAAACTGTGGATCACTTTGTAGCTCACAACAGGTAACCTAGGGCTGGCTATAAGCAGTGTCTGACATTGACCTGTACCAGAACCCCAGAACCAACACACCCATTGGCAGGCTTCAGACCACAACTGAGCATGAGCCAATTAGCTCCATAAACAGCACACCCAAAGGGAGATCTCAGCAGGTACTGACCCTGCTGGGGAAAATGCTGCTTCATGGGGTCAGCCCTCGCACAACTGCTCCTACACTGTGGTCAGAACCAGTCCTTATAGTCAGCTAGCCTGAAGGTCAACTTGACCCACAGATGGGCCAACAACAATCAAGACTCAAGTACAAAAGGAGGGCTCACATAAGCTGTACAAGGGACATCCTGGGGCACCTAGCTCAGGTGATCAGGGAGACAGTGCCGTTGAGCCCCACAGGACACCTACTACATAAGGCCACTTTTCCAAGACTGGGAGACATAGCAGATCTATCTGATACACAGAAATAAATACAGAGAGGAAGCCAAAATGGGGAAACAAAGAAACATACTCCAAATAAAATAACAGGAGAAATTCCCAGAAACAGAACTAAATGAAATGGGGGCAAGCAATCTACCAGATACAGAGTTCAAAACAATGGTTATAAGGATGCTCAAGGAACTTAGAGGAAGAAGGAATGACTCAGTGAGAACTTCAACAAAGAGATACTAAGCATAAAAAAGGAGAGTTTGGGATTATTCTTTGATCAGCTTTACTGCTTGACTTTTATCTTGGGACTGATTCAAGTTGGGTTTTTTGTTATTTGTTCCTCTGACTTTATTTGTCCTTGGGTTTGGCTGGCGCAAATAGCATTAGTTGGTACTCTGTTATTTATCTCCTTGACTAGGGAAATTTAAGCTATTTATTCTCTGTTTAAGAAGAATGAGAGGTATAAACCATTTGTTCTCAAGTGTCCTTGGTCAGGGAAGGTCTTCAATTCTGTGAATCCCGAGAGGCAAGGAAGCTGTAGAAGAAAAATTTGAAGTTAGCAGAGTTTGGTTCATGTAGTTTAAGGAAAGAAGCTGTTTCCACAATATAAAAGTACAATGGGAAGCAGGAAGTGCTGATGCAGAAGCTGCAGCCAGTTATCCGGAAGACCTAGGTAAGATAACTAACGAAGACCGCCACACCAGTCTTGTGTTAGAAGATGACATCTAAAATTTTCTTTTTTTTTTTTGAAGAAAATTAAACTTTATTTATTTTTTAAAACCAGATCACTAGGAAAATGTATCATAGTCCTGAAACAGCAAACAGAATGGCTATATTACTATTTCGAGTAATAAGTTGATAAAAAGATAACAAGGTCCTTATCAAAATGGTAAGGTGCCAGAGCCCCAGGCAAAAGTGGTATTTGGTAGTGGAGGGGTGGGGATGGGGAGGGGCAGCTCCTCTTTTGCTCTAAAGGAGCCACAGCTCACCTGAGTTGCTTACTTTTTCTACCTTGACCTTCCTGCTGCCAAAGGATTGTCTCAGTAGGGCTCTGTTATTTCAGGGTGCTAAGTAAGCAATACTGGGTTTAGGTTTCATTTCTGAAAACCAGATTTTTTCCAAACCCAGTACTTCATAACTCTCTTAATTAAGTAGTCAACAGTTCCTCTTTCATTGTTCATTCCTGGATATTGGTATACAGCACAATCAAAAACCCCTCTCCCTTCAAAGTAGAGTACCACTGCAAGATTGTCCTGTCACTCTGCTGCAGACAGGCTTAGGGCCCATCACTGCAGCCAGTGAGAAGGAAGGTCTGCTTCCCATACTTAGCATGACATTGCCTCTTACGTTTCTGGAGGGTCTCCAAGCTGAAAGATGTCATGTGTGAGAATTTACAAAGTTCACATCTACATCTTGATGGATAGAAACAGCTATCCAAAGGAAGCTTTTAAAGATCTTATCCAAAATACCTCTTCCAACTCCACATCTCAGTCAACTTCATGCCCTTGCATATACAACAAAACCAAGGAAAACAAATACCCAGAAACTGTTTTTCCCTTTCTAAATTAGTGACTTCATGGATTTTGTTTTACAGCTTATCAAAAATGGTGTGGTAATGCTTATGGTAAACAGGAGGTGGACAACAAAGAGAAACACCTCTCTTCACATTCCACCAGACCGCTGGCAAGTGAGAGGAGCCTGTCAGCTTGTTGGTACCTCAGAGGGCTCTGTCTTGGTTTGAGGGAAATACCTGCTGCCAGAGTAAGCATTTGCCACATAAAATTTAGGCTCTCAAAAACTCTCTGACCCAAATTTTAGCACCAGTTTTCTCCATTGCACTTTCTAGGATTACAATATAAAAGAATCAGTGTCCAGAGGCAAGTGACTCATGCCTTAACCTTGCTGCCATCCTTAATTTCTTCATTCACAAACTTTGCTTAAAAGACCAAAATTCTAGCCCTGGCTGGCGTAGCTCAGTGGATTGAGCACGGGCTGCGAACCAAAGTGTCATAGGTTTGATTCCCAGTCAGCGTACATGCCTGGGTTGCAGACCATGACCCCCAGCAACCGCACATTGATGTTTCTCTCTCTCTCTCTTTCTCCCTCCATTCCCTCTCTAAAAATAAATAAATAAAATCTTAAAAAAAAGACCAAAATTCTCATTCTTCATTTTAAATAGATTCCTGCCCTCAGTCACAATGGCCAATGGCAAAGGCTTCTATATCTGAATGGATGAGAGAGACTCCTTCATCTTCTTAGTCATGGTTGGAATGAGGCTCATATGGTCATCCACACACTTTGTCACACAACTCTCCAGCTGCCACTTCACCTGAAGCTCTTTACTCCCTGCATCTATTGAATCTTTGGCTTTGTCATTGCAATGCATGGTGCATCGGGCCAAGCAGTCCTGAAACTTCTCCAACTCCCTGGTTACCAGGGCCTGGGCTTGAGCCAGAGGCACATGGCAGCGCTCGATGCACTGGTGCACCTGCCGCATGGATGCCTTGCTGTCCTCACAACAGCCAGCGCTGCACCAGAACATGAAGGCCTGCATCTTCCAGATATTCTCTTTCTCCAGAGTCTTCACCATGGAATCCACCACCTCCTGTACCCGAAGCTGCTGAAAGTCCACCATGGTGACCCCATGGTGCACCGCGCTGAAACGGAGCCCTGACATCTAAAATTTTCTTAGCTAGAAAGAAGTCAATGTGTGGCTTCAAAGCATCAAAGGACAGACTGGCTCTCTTGTTAGGGGCTAATGTAGCTGGTGAGTTTATTTATTTATTTATTTATTTATTAAGATTTTATTTATTTATTTTTAGAGAGGGAAGGGAGGGAGAGAGAGAGAGAGAAACATCAATGTGCAGTTTCTGGGGGTCATGGCCTGCAACCCAGGCATGTACCCTGACTGGGAATTGAACCTGCGACACTTTGGTTCGCAGCCCGTGCTCAATCCACTGAGCTACGCCAGCCAGGGCCAGCTGGTGAGTTTAAGTTGAAGCCAATGCTCACTTACCATTCCAAAAATCTCAGGGCCCTTAAGAATTATGGTAAATCTACTCTGCCTGTACTCATTAAATCAAACAATAAAGCATGATGAAGTCTGTTTGTTACAGAACAGAACAAGGGGGGGGGGCCTGGAACGATATACTATTATTGAAAGAAGGCCCCGGGTCCGTTATGTCTGCCACCCTAGGAAAGACGTCTCTCAATGCCAGAGATTCGTGAAAAGGAAAGGAAATGTTTATTTAATGCTATACAGACTTCAAGTAGTGACCTAATGTCTTCATCAAAAATCCTAAAGTCCCTTAAAACACCCACAAACAGACACAGTCCTTCCTTCCTTCCCCCTTTGCCCAGTCCAGAGTACCGTATCTCAGGAAAGGAAATAGAAGTCCATGGCTCAGGCAGTCCTCTGGTTCTTCCCAGTTAATACTCCATCTCAACTGGGAGACCTCCCTGGGTTCCCGGCACCCTCGGCTGAGTCGCCGGGATCTCTGCTAAAACCAGGTGGTGGTTCCCCCTTCTAAAGCTGCGGGGGGTCCCCACTCTGTCCAGGCCTCGTGGTTCTCCCTCTCAGGGCTGCGGGAAGGGGAGAGTCCCCACTCTGCCAAAGCCGCGTGGTTCTCTCTCCTAATGGCCGCCAAGTCTGGGTTTTAAATCCCTGCGGCCAATCTTCCTCTGCAGCCTCATTTCTGACTCCTCCCACACTCGGCTTCACTTGCCAGAATTCATATCCTTCCAGCTTTACTGGGCTGCCATCATGAGTCTGGGCAGGTGTGGCCCATGTCCTGGAGCCAATCTTCTCCGAGCTCCCACGCAGGCACTGTAGCTTGGGGGATCTGCCCCCCAGTCACGTCTTGGTGGGGAAGTTACTTACATTCCCCTGGCTCAGAGATGATCACAGCTATTTAACATATCTAAGCGACCAGCCAAAGGCTATAGATATGTTAAATGACCACGCCAGAGGGTAGCTGCAAGGCTGTTGCTATGCAAAACAGCTCTCAATGGCCCTGCTCCATTTGTTCCTTCCCCCAACCCACACTGTGGGGGTAGGGGGGTGGAGACATCTTAAAATCTCCTGGACACCTTAAGTTCTGGACCCCATTTCAAATGCCCATTTGGGGTCCCCCTCTTGGCTGCACCCTGTAACATGTTTGCAACATGACTTACTGCTACTTAAGCCCACTGTTGAGATCTTAGTTTAATTTTTTAAAAAAATTTTAGATTTGTATTTATTTATTTTTAGAGAGAGAGGAAGGGAAGGAGAAAGAAAGGAAACATCAATGTGTGGTTACCTCTCACATGCCCCCTACTGGGGACCTGGCCTGTAACTCAGGTATGTGGCCTGACTGGGAATTGAACCGATGACCTTTTGGTTCAAAGGCCTGTGCTCAATCCACTGAACTATACCAGCCAGGGCAAATATTGATACCCTATTATTAAGTAAAGTCCATAGTTTCTTTAGTTTTAACTCAGTGATTTTCAACAGGTGTGCAGTAAGAATTTTTGAAACATGCAATACTTGACTATTTAGTCAGGGGCACTGACCTCTTTTCCCTTAAATTGTCGCACACACACAAAAATGACAACAGCCAACCAACAATAGATGTCCAGTGTGAAGAGTCAAAATGACACTACTTTTTTTGTCATATCAGCAGAAAATGTATATTTTTAGTAATTAGTTTGTGTGTGCTATGAGATCAAAAAGGTTGAAAATTACTATTTTAACCTAATGTTCTTGTTCTGTTCCAGGATCCCATCCAGAATACTACATTACATTTAGTCGGTAAGGCTCTTCTGGGCTGTGACAGTTTGTCATACTTTCCTTATTTTTGACGGCTTTGACAGTTTTGAGGAGTATTGATTACATTGTAGTATTGTAACTGTGGCAGGAAAAGAAAACTCCAAAAGTTTCTTATGCTCTGTAACTGTAACACTTGCAAAATTTCACACAGGACTGTAGAAGCTGACAAGTCGTAACCAAAGCAACGGCCAGTTACTCAAGGTCATACACAGACTCCCATGATAAGCTCCTGTGCTCTGTAGCTTCTGCAAATTCCTCCTGCGTTTTCTCTTTGTCTCCCATATAAGGTAGCTAGACCTAACTTCCGCATTCGGCTTCTGTAACCTTGCTTCGCCATGTAGGTAGGAAGCCCGGGACTATTTAAACCCCGGGGAGTGTGAGGATCCGGTGGTCAGAGGATTTGGATGTTAACCACCCTCTCTGGGCCCCCGGGTAATAAAGTTTGTGCTTCATTATCTCCCCGCGTGTGGGTGGATTTTCCACAACATAACCAGAAAAGACACCGGCATTTGGGCTGCCTGTCACTACCAAATCCAATAAGCAATGACAGCAATTGAATCTTTTATGGGCGCTTTATTTCAGATGACCGGCGATCCAAGAAGATGGCGGGTTCATACCCTAACAAACCATCTTTCCTTTTCTTTCCTAGCCATATCTTTTATAAGGGGGGTGAGGGAAGACAAACAAGGTTAGGTGAGGGCTTTGAGATTCAGAAGCTGCAACATTCCTGTCCTAGGCAGTTAGCTGTTTCCAAGGGGGAGGGGTAGTCACCTGCTTCTTCCTGGAACAAAGGTTAGGATGTCCCCAGGCGGTAATCTCTAGCCAGTGCTCCAGGAGGTCAGCTGTTTTCCCAGGAGCTGGGATGGGCCTTATCTGTAGTTCCTGAAACAAAAGCTTAACATACACATTACTTGCTAGACTTACAGCTTTTTACCTTAAGCTAAAATTTTCCAAGTCTTGAGTCCCCTATCAGTATTCCTCTCTATCAAAATTTGTCTGATGCTTTTCTTATGATTAGAGAAGGTCACAGAGGCCGGGTTACATTTTCATCACATCTTGCAAGGGTACATGCTACCAACATGACTTATGAGTGTTGATGTTAGCCTGGTCACCTTGCCGGGGGAGCATCTGCCAGGCTTCTCTGCTGTGCAACTACCCTCCCGCACCCCCTCCTTCCACATTGTGCTCTTTGGGCCTCTCTATGTACAGCCCACACTTAAGGAGTGGGGTTAGCATATCTACTGTCTGAGTGTTTTATAACAAAAATTATTCTGCTCCATGTTCCTTCCAGAATTTAGTGCCAGAAAGAGTTAGTCTCTCCTGGCATGCTTGTGTACCCATGTTTATCAGAGGAGTCCTACATGATCCACCTTGGATGATCTTTTATTACCTGGACTGTTAGTAAACTGAGAGTAACCGGTGGGTCAATTGCAGAAGGTCTGAGTTCCCAACAAGATTTTCTCTTCCTCTCATCAATTTTTCTGACTCGTTATTGTAATTGCCTCATTATAAATGTGCTAATTATATTGTAACTGCCTCAAACTCCTTTTGGACTTAGGCAGAGTAGAAATTGCAAACCAGCCAGCCTTCACCTTGTCACCTCTCCCTCACCACCACCAATGCTTACTCTTGGTGCTCTTCCAGGAAAGTGACAGACAAGGTGCTCCCTCCAGGCATTTCTCCTATCCAGACAGAATGGCAGCCCCGGGAAGCAGTGCCCTGGGTGAGTGGGTGTGGTATTTGCTGGGGATTGGGGTGAGGTGGGGGAAATAGACGGTTGTGGGTAGGGCTGTTATTCCTTCCCTAGGAGGTTAGCCCCAGTCCTCCTGCCAGGGTAGTATTGCATAGTGGTCAGTAATATGTGCTGTAAAGTCAGACTTCTTGGGATAAAATGCTGTTTCTGCCAGTCACTGTTCTTGATCATGAGTAAATTGCTTAACAATTCAGGGCCTCAGTGTCTCTACTTGTGAATGGAGATAAGAATTCTGCTTCCTGGGCCTTTGTAAAAGAGTGAATGAAATACTACAGTATGTGTAAAGCACATAGAAGAACCCCTAGCATTTTGTAATTTATTAATGTTAGTTCTGTTCTGTTTTTCCCTTTTCTATAGCCTTGTGTCGCCTCACCCCCGCCGCCCCGCCCTGGCCCTCATGCTCTCCTGGGCCCCCTGCTGCAAAGCCCTCTGGCTTCTACTACGGAGATGTGTGGCACTCGCTGCCCTGCTCCAGCCGCTCCTTTCCCTCTGTTGACAGCATCCTAGGCTGCCTGGCTGGCCCGTTGTCCACGCAATGGGGGACTCCACACTTCGGCAGTGGTGGGAGTATCTGCGTGACACCGTGCCCTGTGAGTGGCCCTGTGGGGAGAGGGGAGGACTCCTAAGAGAAAAAGAGCAGAACCAGGGCCTTGAGAAACAAGTCTCCCACATTTTCCGTGAAGAGGTTGGGGCAGGATGCTGGGAATTTTCCAAGAGCAAGTGAGCAGAGGAATCAGAGCTGGGAGGATGTAATTATTATCACCAAGCTGCCTTTCCAGTTTAGTTTACCAGAAGTTATGTAATGAGCTCAAAAGATGGCATTTTAAAAAACTCATATAATACAATTTTTGATAATACAAAAAAGTCCCCCATTTAGTTTCTAAGTAAAAATCCCCATTTAATCGCTTAGGTTAACATGTGAAAGACATAAAGTTCAAACTTTTGTCCCACTCACCTAAATTTCTTTTCCCTTCTCTTCCTTCCTCCCTTCTCCTCCCCTTTCTCCCCGCCTTCCCACTCCCCACCTTTGCCTCACTGCCCTGTCCTGACCAGCAGTTGGTAAAGCTGTGGTTCT